AAAGTAGTTAACATTCAACCAGTTCTTTTTCATCAGTAGTATTATTTGTGATTTGAAGGCAAGTCCCTCTTTTGACACGTTATAAGCCGTGCTTCGGATGCTTTCACTTTTCACTGTATTAGACTATATAATGACTAATAAATTACAGAACGTTTAGCAAACACTGAGGAATCAAAAAAAAAGAGAGAGCCTCCATAGCATAAGGTATGGAAGTCCGTTTCTATGGAAGCCCGTTTCCGCCACTGAATTAAAAAAAAGAAAGAAAAAAAAAGGTAATTGCAACTTTTTATCTCACAGTTCAAAAAAAAGAAAGAGCCTCCATAGCATAAGGTATGGAAGTCCGTTTCTATGGAAGCCCGTTTCCGCCACTGAATTAAAAAAAAGAAAGAAAAAAAAGGTAATTGCGACTTTTTATCTCACAGTTCACACTTTTTTTCACAGAATTGTGAGATATAAACTCGCAATTGTGAGATATAAAGTCAGAATTGCCAGATATTAAGTCACAATTGCGAGACAAAAACTCGCAATTCTGACTTTTTTTCTCGCAATTCAGACGACAAAAAAAGTCAGAATTGCCAGTTTATACCTCTCAATTATGACTTTTTAACTCGAAATTGAACTCGAAAAAAACTTTCTCTGGTTTAAGAAGCGGTCTTTTACTTTACTTAAGCGTGAGAGTGTCATTTTTGCTGAGCGCACTTTCTGCAATTAATAGTAAATATAACCAAAACAGGTTATTATAATTTTTATATGAATAATAAAATAAATATAAGGAAAACTCGCCCACTCGATTTTGTAATATTCTTTAATTTTGTAGTCCGTATGAAAAGGTGCATTTCTATTAAAGGCACGTCCATGTGGAGATGGCGAGTCAGCGTCTGCATTCGGCAACCTCATCTTTGCACCCGACACTGACTCAGAAAGCACTAGTTTATTAATAAATAATTAAAATGTCTTCTTTTCCCCCGACACGTTCAGAATCACTTTGCCGGTGCTTTGAGGCAATTGCTTTATGCGCGAGCTTGAGCGCAGAATAGGCTCTAATACGTCTGCCTATAGCCTATATTGAAGTATGGCGCTTATAAATTATATATTTAATAATTAATATATTATTATTATTAATCAATTTAATATAACGTGCGACTAAAAATCTTTAGTAGAGGGCAGGCCTATACTTAGCACAAGGAAGCTCTCCATTTATAAAATAAAATGGTATAGCCTAATGACATTACGAAAAGTGCGACAGCTGCAAATCACATCGTTATTGCACTGCACGAGTTATGCATGCATAAGGAGTCCAAAAAAAAATTTATCACCCTAATTAGATTATGAAGAATGATTTGTTGATCTTGTTTTCCCTTTAATACATAGCCTACCTTCCGCAATATATTTTTCAATTACTTTCAAAAAGTGGTAGGGACAATATCGACCCAGGCAAAAAGTGGTGGGGACATGGCCCACCCGTCCCACCCGCAAATTACGCCTATGGAGGCAACCACTGCATTTGAATCATGATCTGCACGGGCAGTTGTTTTTGATTTGATTTAGAATAATTTCAGGATTTAAAACAAAAACAGAATGGTCTGACTTTAGGTGTTATTTATTTGCTACATAAAACATCTGCACGAAACAAAAACAGCAGGTCTGAATGAGACGCACTCTCTGACAGGAGATAGCGCCTATGAACAGGGTTGCCAGGTTTTCGCAATAAAACTAGTCCAACCGCGTTTCGAGGGGGTTCCCCTGTAAAAGAAATCGCATTCCGGGGGTAAAATACACGTTTTTCGGCGGGATCTTCCAGTAAACTTCACATTCCAGGGACTAAATATCACGTTATTGGGGTCGCTTCAACCCACGGACATGAACAAAAACCCGCGGCAACAGTGTTAAGTAGCCCAATTTTGGGTCAAAACTTGGCAACACTGCTTATGAACCGACCGCACTATAGCATTACCTTGTTTACCGCTTTAAACAAAGCAGAGCTGCGCTTTATACGAGAAGAAAATGCCATTGCCATCGAAACTTTTTGCGATCGATGGGTTGGCAACCACTGGTGTAGATGCATGTTGATTTTATCAGACGATGCCGCGATTAGGAATGAGAGTGACTCCTGGTTAACATGTATTAAAAGGGGTCGTGTTTAGTCACTATTTAGTGTGGTATTTTTTGACAATATTCACTCATCATGACAGTAAAATAGGGCATTCTAAGTTAATATACTGCAGTATTTCCTCCCTCAATCAGTAGAGAATATGGTTAACACCCGGTCATGCATGACAAAAAAATACCGTCATGTACCGTGAAACCGGTATCATTTTGAAAAATACCGTGATATAAATTTTTGGTCATACCGCCCAGCACTATTACAAAGGTATATTCCAAAGGTACCTGAATGGTTATTTTTGGTGGAAATTCAAAGTGCAAATCCATGCACACTCTAACAGCTAATACTGCCCACAACCCTGTGCACGTTGGACGAGGATTCAATTAGAACTACAAGTGTTTCCTATAAGAAATAAAGTGAAAACGTTATGAAATTTTTAGATAAAAAAAGAATACAATATTAACAACATGCTGAAATGTGACAACTGGAAGTAAGCTATTTAGGCTTATTTATTAGAAAAAAATATTCATAGAGTGTCTCTGTGGTGCTGTTTAAAAGTATTTTTAGACTTCAACCCCAAAATGAAAAGTTTGTCATTTACTCAACCTCACATTATTCTAAACCTGTACTGTATTCACAAATCAATGTTGTCTTAGACCCCAGTGACTTTCATTGAATAGACGAAAATAGTTCTTCAAAATATCTTCTGTGTATTCCACAGAAGACAGGAAGTAATAAGGTTTGGAAAGACATATGGGTGAGTAAATAATGTACCAAAAGGGGGGTGGGGGTGGGGTGAACCATACCTATTTTCATGAGCTATAACTCCAACCAAGCCAATAAATGAATTAAACATAGAAAGCTGGTAAAGATTTAAGACCTACTGCTGACTAGACATTTCACAAGATCAACAGCCTAGAAACATCCATACAGCCATTGTTTCAAATGGTGTACTAAGTACAATATTATATTAATATCTTGTAGCAAACATTACCCAAAATAAATAATATATAATGCCACTGACAGGACAGACTCAGATTTCCACACCATTTTTTATGAGAATACCCAGAATACCTATTCAAGTCTAACCTGAAATGTACTGCCTGCATTTAACAGATCAATGTGTTCAAAGTCCTTTACAGTAAATGTACATATCTGCTTCATGTCAGTCAGAATGAATGAGTTTGTTCTGGCTTTCTTCTGGATGACATGAACTATGTTCTTGAATTTCCTGTGATATGTCACATCTTGATTTGTTATTGCAGAACATTGATGATGATCATTATTTCCAAAGCATAAAGAACAGAAGACCCATACAGGAATAATTTCTTCTTATTAGCAGATATGATCTGTCTAAAGGTGACAGCTAAACGTCTCAACTGACAAAAACATATCGTAAACAATGTAGCTGCAAAACACATCCATGGCAAATAAATAAATGTACCACTAATCTCAACAGCCATGGTAATCATTTTCTTATTGTTGAACATGGGCTTCTGCTTATAGCAACTATCAAACACGAGACAGATAATATTGACTAAAGCCAGATCAAAACAATATCGTACACAAATCAGCCGTGCGACAGTGTTTATAAACATTTACACGATGATTTACCCCTGAACAGAATATGACCGTGCAGTACACATTTAAACGCCTCTATACATATCGTATACATATTCTGTCAGTTTGACACTTACCGTATCTCGGCTGGGTTTAGTGGGGAGGGGAAAAAACTGGAGTAGAAGAACAACCTTGGTGTAATACTGGCAAAACAGACCGTTCTGTCGATGGCAATTCTTCACAAGTACATAAAGTTCGCCAGTACCAACTGTCACCTCATAAACTTATTGTTATTCTTGACTTGAATGCTCTGCAAAACTGTCTCTGTTTATCTGATACAGCCGAACTCAGAAACCGATCGACCTTTCACTTCTGTACGCGTAAATAAGGCGGAATGGTAGGAACGGTGGAGGACTGGAGCGCAACAGTTTCTCTACACGTCCACAGTAGGAATTTACGACTTATACTATGGCAGAGGCAAAGCTTATAAATATTAATTAGGCCTGGTAACCTTCGGGCAGCGTCCAGTCACGTAAATTGTTAATATTCATGAGCAAATGATTCAGCAAATCACTCTCGACTACTGGGAGAACGTCAGATTGCGTCATTAATATTAATGTTTCAAGCCTTTGCCATAGCAGGACTGTCGTCTCCACAGGAGCGCCATCTGTCGACGCACCGTAATATAACCTTCACCCTGTTCAAAGAATACAGGTCACTATTTCCATTTTCAGTTATACAAAGGTTTACACTTTCTGCATTATTTCTTCGTGGTCATTAATAAAAAATAATAATAAAGAAAATCTGAAAATTACCATCAAGAACACTTTTTTCAAAAGTTGTATTTAAAATATTTTAATTAACAAAAACAAAACAGATCACAGGCCGTCTATAAAACGGGTCGACTTTATTGCTTAGAGAATACAGCTTACAGCTTTCGCAAAGGCATGTGAATACGTTTCTCAACTACACCTTACCAGTCATCACAAGATATGAATTAACCACACATTCACAACTCCACTTTTACACATTGCACCTGGAAAAAATCTGCTATCAAAACATAGTACAAAGTGAGTGTTACAGAGCGCTCAGTGCGATAGGCACCAAAGCACTCACGTCATACAGAGAGCAAATACCATGAGCAGATTTCCGAAGCCTATCTGGTGACTGAATTTTCTTAGTTTTTCTATCTTTGGTACTATGAGACAGATTTTATTCTGCACATGTAAATCTTTTCCTTGGAATACTGTTCTGAACACAGGGCAGGTAAAAGCCTATCTACACGTAATCTTTATCCTCACTTGAACTAAAAAGAACCAAAAAGCAACATCCTACATTACAAATCTCATTCTCTGATCTCACGCAGTAGAACAAAGAGAAATACAGAAGCGGGGATGAACGGCTTCCAAAAAATGTTCCCCAAATGTGTCTCTTTAAGCTATTTTACAAAGACAAATATAAGAGAAATACGCAAATCGCCTAAAACAGGATGCGATTCGAAACGCCGGCTCCTGAATTTAACCAATGACAATTAACATGGTGCGCCTCATGTCACAGCCACATCACATGACTTAACATCCTTCCCACACACATACGGTGAAACTTATGGCAACTGCCTTCAATTAAATCAGGAGCAAATGAGAAAGAAAAGAGGGATTTTCAAAAGCTAATAATTCTAGTTAACAAGTGAATCGAGGCAAATATAGCAACAAATCACAGGAGAAACCCCATGATCGCTCCTAAACCGTCAGTATGAATTTATACTGGTGATCTGGGATTTAAAAGTTTATACAGAAGAAAACACTGCAGATGTCCCTCTCTGCTAAGGTTACAGAGAACAGAGTGTGTGTGGGAGACCGAACATGTCTGTAAATATATATATATATATATATTGTCAATCTATCCGTGTGCTTCGGTGAAAGCCTGCCGGGATTCACATGTCATCCTCTTCATCTTCATCCTGGGAAGATCCGGCCTGCTGAGCGGAACTGGCTGAAGCCGCCGCTAGCTGTGCCTGCTGGGCGGCCTGCTGCATCTGTAACCACTCCTGCTGTGCCAGCTCAGCCTGCTGCTGCCGTGCCTGTAAGACAGCAGAACTTCTCAGAAGAGCCGCTTGAAATCACAGCGTTCATGCTGTTACACAAATACAAGGCATAAACTGGAAAGCCACAGAGCGAGAAGTTGATTTAATCAGCTTCGTGAACAGTTCGACATGCTTTTAAAGCTCTTTCAGCATTTTTACCTTGGCAAATAATTCCTGTTGTTGACGGAGAAGTTCTTCCTCAGGTATGCCAAGGTTTTCTAGTCGAGAGCTGGCCTTCCTCCGTTTAAGTGCTACCGTTTTACACTCTTGCAGAACATCTTTTACTTCTGCGATGTATGACCCAAAACCTAGACTTTCAAGTGCTGAGGAAAAATAAATAAATTCCCTGTTACATATATCTGTTGGAAATCAAATGTCCTACCAGTAAAAAAATAAATACCGCTTGAAATCACAGCGTTCATGCTGTTACACAAATACAAGGCATAAACTGGAAAGCCACAGAGCGAGAAGTTGATTTAATCAGCTTCGTGAACAGTTCGACATGCTTTTAAAGCTCTTTCAGCATTTTTACCTTGGCAAATAATTCCTGTTGTTGACGGAGAAGTTCTTCCTCAGGTATGCCAAGGTTTTCTAGTCGAGAGCTGGCCTTCCTCCGTTTAAGTGCTACCGTTTTACACTCTTGCAGAACATCTTTTACTTCTGCGATGTATGACCCAAAACCTAGACTTTCAAGTGCTGAGGAAAAAGAAATAAATTCCCTGTTACATATATCTGTTGGAAATCAAATGTCCTACCAGTAAAAAAATAAAAAATAAATAAAAAAATCAACACATTCATACTGTAAATCTATATCATGACTGTAACACAATCTTATCTATCCACCGTTTCTGCAAATCCAAACTACTAAATTAATCTTTAGATTAACCTGAATTAGTCTATGTTAATACAATCTAAGGCCTTAGAAGACCTAAAAATTTGCAGGTTCAAACCCACAAAGCGACGGCAGTCCAATCACCATTGTGGATTTGATTTACATATTTAAAGGGATAGCTCATCCATGAAAAAAAAATTCCAAAACCTAGACTTTCAAGTGCTGAGGAAAAATAAATAAATTCCCTGTTACATATATCTGTTGGAAATCAAATGTCCTACCAGTAAAAAAATAAATAAAAAAAATCAACACATTCATACTGTAAATCTATATCATGACTGTAACACAATCTTATCTATCCACCGTTTCTGCAAATCCAAACTACTAAATTAATCTTTAGATTAACCTGAATTAGTCTATGTTAATACAATCTAAGGCCTCAGAAGACCTAAAAATTTGCAGGTTCAAACCCACAAAGCGACGGCAGTCCAATCACCATTGTGGATTTGATTTACATATTTAAAGGGATAGCTCATCCATGAAAAAAAAATATGAATTTTTTTACCCTAGTGTTGCTCCAAACCTGTATGACTGATTTTCTACTATATGGAACACAAAGATACTGTGAAGAATGTTTCTTTGCATGAAAATGAAATGCATGAAATTTAATAAATTTGTTCAACGCTGCAAAAAAAAAAACATGTTTCCAAAATATCTTATTTTGTGTTCGAAAGAAGAATGAAAAGCATACAAGTGTGGAGCAAGCCAAATAGTTTTCATTATTAGATGAATTCCAACCAGTTTAAGATGGTCCCCCAGACCATCTTCTGCAAGTCTTCTAGGCTGAACAGACGAAAATTGCCCAAAACCCCTTTAAAATCAGTCAAATTTCAAGGGACAAGAAATTTCAAAGGGACGTTTCAAACGTAGTCAAACTAGTTCTCAAGACACTGTCTTAACATATTAGCTATGTTTATGCATCTGGCCACAGAGTGGAAGAGCAGCTAAGACCAGCAGAGCAGGGGTGCGTTTCTCAAAAACATCATTAGCTAACTAGGGTCGTTAGTTCTGTTTAACTCTATTGGTAACAACAGAACTTGCGACCATAGTTGCTTTGAGAAATGCTCCCCAGTTTAGGCTGGTTTTTCCATCATGAATTGTATGGAAGATGTGCCAATGACAGTGAATGGTGGCAAACATCCCATTTTGTGTACATCAGAAGCAAGTAAGAAACACAGGTTTTAGAATAACATGAAAATGAATAAATAAACGTATGTTAATTCTTGCGTTAATTACCCTTCAATTCAAACTTACTACGCAAACTTTGAATAAAATCCTCCATCACGTATCCAAATGGATTAATTAGCTGTTAGTGACCTCACGGTCATCAAGAAGTGACATCCTCACCGTTTATAACATGTTCTGGGGATATAGTCTTCTTCTCGGATTTATTGCAGATCTCGTTGGCCTCTGATGAGACGAGGTGAATGAACTCTGTGCAGCAGTTCACCACCAGCTCTCTGGCATCGTTCGCTACTCGCACATTGGGAAGCGTTTCTTTAATCATTTTATTGATCGCCGCCCTCGGGATCGTCAGATCATCGTCGTTGCCCGATGAAGAGGCCATGAGGGATGAGCTGCCAGGCCCCAGACGCTTCAGAGTTTGAAGGGAATCGAAAGCAGGCGAGGAAGTTCAATGGGCTGTTAATGAAACAACACCCACAGCGGCGGCTTTGTGTGGAGATTCAAATGGTGTGGCCGGCTTTCTTATAGCAGATCACTAAAACACTGCCAGAGAGAACGTATACTTTTGAATTCAAATTCAGGGAAAGAGTCTGAGTGTGTGACACAAGGAAGGGAGGATGAGAGGAGTCAGTACCTTTCGGTTGATCAGTTTACGCTGACTCTCCACATCCACACATCAGAGCTGCTTCTGCTGCTGTTCCTGTGCGCGTTTATAATCATGATTCAACTCCGATCATTCATTCTCAAGCTGCCTGGATAAACTAACAGACGCCGCGCGCGTTCGGCTAAAGCCCGGGGTGGAATTTTTTAAGCATTCGAAGCTCTTAATTCATTACTTCACCCACTCGGTTGGCGACCAACGAAATAACCCCCACAATGCAACACTTCCGGATATCCGGTGATTCTTCTGCTTGTTATTGTTTCGTGGGGTTGCTTGACACCGCCTCCTACTGTACGAAACGGAAATTACGAAATTTGATCTCGAGACACTCTTATTACATCTGTCAAACCATTAATATTGTGTATACCCCTGACATTTTGTACTGAAAAAGTACAAAACTGAAATTGCAAGCGCAAGATTAGGCAAAGTCACGTGGTTATAGACTATAGCTTTTGGTCCAAGCAGCCATGCAGTTCCTTGAACCTTGTGTTTGTTATGGTGTTCTTCCTTCTTCCTTATGTTATGCATAATTATGTGATATAATAGCCTAATATTATATTATAATTGGTACACACAAACAAGAGGCGATGCACTCCAAATTATAAAGGAGTCACAGTGTGCCTGTGGAACAACGTCTCATTGCTCTTCTAAAAGCACAAATGAACTCTGGTGAAAGCTGTGTCAATTGCTTTGGCCAGCCTGGTCAATTTGTCTAATTTCCAAAGGATGTCCAGATTGCCCACACTAAGCATGAGTTTTATTCTTTTCTTTTTTTTTAAATTCTATTCAACTGTCCATGATGCACGTATCCTGAGGGAGAGTGCTCTATAGAGTTCCAATCTGATCAGGATAATCATTTTGGGGTTTTTTGGATCAAAGTTTTGAACAACTCCTACAGACAATTAAACCATGATAGGATGACTGGATCTAATCCAATGTCTGAATTCTTTTTTTTTCTGTTTCTTTTGAACAACCCATGTTCAAGAATTGTTCTAAACTGACACCCAAAAATCCGATTTGAACAACTGGGCCAATAAAATGATCATTTCTGTTATTTGAAGATTATGACAATTGATATGTACAAACGCAATGCTCTTTTGAGAGAACTGGCCACAAGGTGGTGCTATAATAAGAGATTTAAAATGTTTGTGTAGAATGCAGAAGCTTTATTTAAATTAATCCTTTATTAATCCTCAAGTGCTTGTAATCTAATGGCAACATGATGTTTGCATTTTTGTCCTCACCTTTTCCTTATCTTTGCCTGACACATGCATTTGCTATTTAGCTCTTCAACTGTTCATGTTTTTCTTCCAACAGTTGGTAAAAGACCATATCAGTTTAATTCATTACATACATAGATTAATTGGATAATATCCTAAAGTTAAGAATACAATCTGTTCCCTCATGTCCTGACTCTTCATCTTTTGTTTTTGTATCAAGGGATTTATCCAGATTAAGTTTGGCTGAGATTAAGTTTTGCTTGGTACTATGTAAGGATAACCTAAAGTAGATTATAAGACTTCAAAATGACCAAAAGAAAGAGAGAAAATATTAGATGAACAATTAATTTATTCTGATGGATGGAAAATTAGACTAAGGAAACAATTAGCACAAGGTAACAGCAGAACTATTATGAACATTTTGCAAACTTTTAGCTAACTCTGTGATTTATAATAAAATATTGTACAATATTTGGTATTATGTATTATTGCATTTATTCACATATAATGAAATTCTGAAATAATGAAAACAGGTCAGCTGTCCTTGGAGGTATTCCAGAAAACAAGGTTAACTTCAAAATATTCGGATTGGCTGTACACAAGAAAACGCATGGGTGTCGTTTTCAGAGTTATCCACTCTGGGACCCGGTTTCAAAAAATAGCGGTTTCACACTCCCAAAACGCCAGATCCGTCTGGACGAAACGGCAATCCGATACAAAATCTTTGCCTATAGGCTAAACGCGTCTCCATGTATCCTGAACTCTCAGTTGATTAACTTGTAGAACGTGTGCGATTAATTGGCTCTAGAAAGGCGGTCTACAGTTAAGGCTGGAATACACAACATGGCTTTTGCCCAGGGCCAGACTTTTTCAGTCTGGACACACTGATGCTAGATACTGAAAGTCAGAGCCAGCCTGCATGTTTTCGGCAGTCAATGTTGACAGATTTTGCAAAAAATTGCATAGCAAATGATGGGCAGATTGGGCACAGACCGTTTTTTTTTTTTATTGCTTCAGAATTCCACCCAGCTGGAGGATATCAAACATGTCTTATATAGCTCTCTTTTTTAGTATGTTCTAGTAATGAGGCACACTTTAAAAATGCTCAGTTATTTAGTGTATGATGCTCAGGTTTTCTCTGTAACCATTTAAAAGCCAACAAGTGTATGATATGCCTGGTGTTTTTATTAAAATTCAGACTTCATGAACACAAATATTCTCAACAGAGCGTCGAATCCATGAAACAAACTCCATGAAAACAAATGCTAAGAAGAAGCACATATCAGTACTTATTATGCAGTCTATTTTTAAACAAATTATTTTTCTTTTTTTCTTTCTTGGTAGGCTACAGTACTTCAGTGATGCAGAACTGATGCTAAATAAAGATATTATTATGCAAAGATATTATGGCTGTATTATGTTAAGGGGTGTCCCATCCTACTCCTGGAGGACTAACATCCAGCATGTCAATTGGTTCACAATTGCTCTTTCCTCCCTGTGCTGATAGAAGATATTCCTTTTATTTTGAGGAGATACCAACCTCCGCATCTCTACCATTTGCAACCCAGCTCCTAGAGAGGGGTGTGTACGAAAGGTTAGTCTGATGACGAAATGGTGGGTTGACCATGGTAATAATTTTGAATGTGTGCTGGTTATAAAAGAAACAACATATGGACTGTTAGTAATTCAGAGACCAAACCAAACATCAGAGCATTGGAAAGATAGATGAATAAAATAAATGAAATGCTATATAAAATGTTTTGGAAAAGTACCTCTGCAACATCCTCTGGAGTTTGTCCAAGACTCTGGAATATCTGGTTGTAATTCTTTGAGTAGATGTTGGTAAACATATCTGCTGTCACTTTATCAGCTTTGGAGAGGTCTATCTTCAAGCCTTCCTCATACACCTTATGATCAAACTCTGTGATGACGGGTCCTGGTTCAATGAGGCTGATACTGCTCAGATGCAAATACAATATACATACAATTACAACTTAAATGTGGGGGGTCAAAGCTTTCAGAACACATCGAAAATCTTGAAATTACTGCTGCAATCTATTATCATGAACAAGAAAACTGAACTCTTATAAACTTGTCAATTTGAGTAGTTCTAGTCATACAAAACTATCATAGGATGTGATGAGGCAATGTGGTTCATGTCCACTCTGTCTAGATTCATGTTGTAAATGTACTTCTGGGTAGTGGGGTATGTGGGGCCATTCAATGCTTGGACTCCTATACTGTATATGAGTGTGATCACTTACTTCAGATTGAATCTCAGAGCTTGAACTGCCAGACTCTCACAGAACCCTTCAACAGCGAACTTGGAAGCAGCATAAATGTCATTAAACAATATACCTGTGTACATGAACATGACAGTGATTAGAGATGGTAAACCCTGACTGAATCCTCTCAGAGCTTCTTTAGTCATTGTTGTTAATCCTTTAAGCATCTAAGTTGGACCTCTCACCCCCTGGTATAAAGAGCTCAAATGCAAATATCAGCTTAAGAAAACCAGTCATTAGTAAAAGCTGGTTGTTGTCCATTTTTAACAACTCACCCTGAATCCCCATTACACTGCTGATTACCACTATGTGGCCACTTTTTCTCTTCTTCATATCAGGCAGAATCTCCTTCAAGAGTCGCACAAGCCCAAAGAAGTTAGTGTCCATGATAGATTTCATCTCATCAATGGTCTGACATTCAATGGGGCCAATCATTCCCATTTCAGCATTTCTAACTGTAACACAGATAATGGAAGGGTAGTATCAACAATGCTAATTAACCATGGTCTTGTTACACTAACCATAGTTTAACCATTTTATTTGTAGTAAAACTGTGCTTATACAAATGGTAATCAATGCGCCAAAAAAAAAAACATTACTACACTTTTACTATAATAAAACCATGGTTATCTGCATGGGAACGTTAAAGTTTAGTACAGTGTGAAGTGGTATCTTATAAATACCCAGAATTTATTATTTATTATTAACCCCATCATATTATTATTAATTATGAACAGTGTGAAACGTGAAGCAACCCTGGATTCCTTTTACACAAGGTTTAGAATGGGTTAACCATTTCAAGTTAGTTTGACGTTTGACATTCATTAGACATTCGGGTTTTTTGCCAATTAAACTCTTTGCAGCTTTTATGTTTTGAGCCCAAACTAACTCAAATAGACATAAATATATGCCCTTTATGTTGCACAAGGCTTCATTTCTAGGAATTAAAAAAAAAATTAACCATTTAAATTAATTAAACAATTTAACTACATGACATTATAATATAAAACCAATACTAAAATGTTTGGAAAAACATACCTGTTATCGCACAAAGCTCCGTTTTTGGAATTACAATTTTATGTTTTTTATAATAATTTTATGAATTTTTATATTTTTATATAGTGCTATATATAAAAACAATAAAGGCATAATCTGAAAAAACAAGCCTTGAGCATTATAGGGAATAATATTCTGAATATTTTACAGTTTGTTTGATACCTTTAGATCAAATGGTGTTGTCGTTTAATGGATTTATATTATTGCATACATTAAAAGTTGTAAAATTATTATAAAAAACATAAAATTGTAATTCCAAAAAC